TAGCACCCAACTTGACAAATCAATGACCGAGAGTTGTGCAAGTAGGAGGACGCTCGCCTGCTTGCATCGCATGCCAGGTGCTTCCAAGCCTGGCGGAAGGAGCAGACAATGCCATTCGCCCAGAGATGGCCGATGATGGCCGGCTGTCAAAACCGTATGTTGGAATGCGTTGTCGAAATGGCATTTGTGCTTTGTCTCGAGACATTCGCACATGCCCAACGCTACGCCATAGATGCTCTAAACTCAAATCTGAACAGAGTGAACACGCTAACAGTTCACCTTCATGCTTTTTGATACAGCCAAAACTGCCTCACAGCCTAGACATTGCCCAAATCAGGAACTCAGCCTATACTTGAACCTACACCCAACATCAATCCTGGAACCCTTGGCTGCACTTGCAGCCAAGGCTGGAGAGAAGCAAGCAAACATCAATCCTTTTCCCATGTCAAGTCATTACACCCCAAACCCGACCCCAAGCCCTAACTTTGGCCCTGCAACCCGACACCCCGCAATGAAGCAACAGCGTGGCCTTCTGAAGCTCCGGCGTGTGATCAGGTCAGTCCCTTGAAGGGCGCGTGTAGTCTCCTTGGTTTCCAAGCGCGCGCTGCAATCTCAAGGGAAACGGGAAACCGCAAAGAGAGTGTTGCAGAGGAAAGCACGTGCACCAGCAGACTGATGTGAGGCCCTCCTCTGGAAATCTCGGGAATGAACGTTCAAGGAACGCTAGACTCTAGACAGTAGAGATGGCCCCTCCAAAGATGCTATTACAGTGTGCAGTTTCCCCCTCTAGTTACCCCCCTGAACACCCCACACACGTGCTCCAAAAGTCTCCTTGTAAAGGCAAAGGTGGCAAAAGCAAGAATCCGAATGTGGGCACATCTGGGTCCAGTTCCAGGACTCTCAGTGCCCTTCAAGAGTGCCACGCTTGGTGACCAGCGATCAGGAACCAAATCTCCATGCGCAACCAGACCAGCCTCGATGGCAAGCGCGATCAGCTCCACAAGGCGACGAGGGATTGCCTTTGGCTGCAGTCCACAAGCAGCCTTGGGATTTGTGTTGCTCTCAGTTGCTTGACTCATGCCCGATGGGCCAACTGGTGATTTCCGGCCCGTTTTGAAGGATTGAATCAACTGAGCCCGTTGCGGCATCTTCAGAAGTTGGCTGCCAACTGCTCAAAATGGAGGCACTTGCTGGACCCGTCGTCATGAACACTGCGGCACTTTGGGTATGTTCCACACTCGGGGCCCCCAACAGTGATTGGTTTTCCTTTGCTTTCACTTCAAAGCTCAACTATTGGAGGTGGATATGCGAACCTGACCCTCACCTCCGATCATTGAATACTCTCTAGACCCAAGTGAATTGAGCGACACCTGTGTAGGCCATGATCTCCTTTTAAAACTGGGGCTAGCCCTTCATGGAACAAGAGATGTTTTGGGGACAAGGGCAAGGGCGTATGCCTGTAGGCAAGTCTCGATCTACAGCAGGTTAGCATTTGTCAAGCCGTTGCAATGTCGATCTGCCCGCCCCTTGCTCTGATCTTCGGCAGGTTCAGCACATGTTCCGCAGCTTCGCGGTGCAACTGGAGGGCCAGGCCCAGGATATGAAGCCGCTCCGCTCGACTTTAGGGTTTTGCTGCGCGAGAACGCGTGAAAGTCGGCAACCTCTAACCTTGACATAGGTTCTTGGGGGGGACTTCATTTAAAGGCCACCTTGACGGGGATCTGAGTTCCTTGTTTGATTCAAAGCGACTTGATGGCTGGACTTGGTCAGGCGTGATTCATGCCAGCTTAGAATTGTTTGAGGCTCTTGGAAGATGATAAGGGGAGCAATGGATCAGTCTTCAACGCGGCCAGAACCAAGCCCTGAACCTAAGCTTTCGCTGGGATTTGCTGCCAGCACCCCGTTTCAGCGGAGTCTTTTTGTGCATGTCTTTGCCCTTGAGTTCTTCTTTGAACCTGCAGTTTGCATAAGGGGCACGCGCTCGAAGGGCCCAGACTTGTAGCGTGTTTTCAGTCCGCTGGGGAGCTATGTGCCAAAGAGAAGCGGGTGGCTGCGGCAGAAGACAGTGTACAGCCTTGCTGAGGAAGACTGCCTGGAAGGAGAAGCAGAGGCGTGGGTCTGCCTGCTTTTGGTACTTGCTCTTTGACCACAAGCTTGCAGGGAGGGGCAAATCTCCAATGTGTCAGTGTTGGAGCTTTCGGAATTCTCATTTTCCAATTAGAGTCCCTGTTGCAGCCACTTCGCCGCATCAACAGACTCTGGCAATTCAGCCGGGCCTCGCAAGGCGGTCTCTGAGCAAGGGCATGGGAACCGTATCGCTGCCAGACATACGCCACCCTTCAGGCTGGAGCAGGGATGGTGTTTGGCGTTCGAGGCACTGCACATATTTGGCGTTTGCATAAAGATAACCTGTGCGCCAAAGAAGTGAAGTGTATTCTGGCATGACATGCACGGGAAAAAAGCTGGAAGGAGAGGACTTAGAGCGTGTGCCGATGAAATGTGCCGTGATTGATTTTCGCGTCTCATACGTTGCTCATTTATGTGATCCGTGCCAGGCTAGCGTCAGTGGTCCGGCGCTCGGCTGGCACGTTCCCCCTTGGCATGGACAGTCGGCCGCGGCCCGGACTGGCACAAGCCAAAGCCAGCGGCCTGCCTGATGAGTTTTCCGGTGCCTGTCCACAATGCTGGATGACACACACACACACACGCTACACACACACACACACGCTTTACATATATACATCCATATGATATGATATACACTTATTTGTATTATACAGATACCTCGATATATTCATGTATAATAGTAAATACCTAAATATGTATATACACGTACATGTACATGTCAACTTGATGTTGCGAACCTGGATTTGCGGCCACATACATTTAGAAGCACATGTTGTCGCCAGCCGCTTGCATTTAGAACGTATCTATGTTCTAAACGCGTGAGCGAAGCTGGCTACATATTGCAATTGAGCGACCAGTTCCTAAGTGCGTGTTGACATGAACTGTTTTGCTTCTCGTCGTGAGTCCAAAGACATGAGCAGTGTTTCTCAGTGCGCGCTCGCAACGTGGACCTTGGGCAGGAAGCTGACAGATGCCAGCCCTGGTCATGGGAATTTCCTCTTTGTTCCTCCCTGTTCTGAACATGTTTTTTGCCAGGTTTTGCATACAAATCCTGCTTTACGTAGACGTTGGTAACAGGGGCGGGACTTCTTGGCTTCAACTTCTGAGGTCAGTGGGGCTGAGCCGCTCGTTTGCTTCTGACAGCAGGGATGCACGGTATGCGTTAGACCTGCGCCCTCTGAACCAGAACCTTCCTGCAATGGATGTGCTCCCTTTTGCCAAGATGCTGGCTGAGTGCTGAGCTAGCACTGGATATGCAGGCCTTGTTTTGCCTTTGCTTGGACTTGCGAACCACACGCACAGGCTGGCTAGAAATGGTTCAACCCACCACCGGAAAGAAAGGGGCCTCTTGGCGCGTTCTGGAAGAGACGCATTTCAGGATAAAATGTCCGAAGATGCATGGAATTTGCTAATAAACTAATAATGCACATGCTCGACGCTTTTGCCTCCGAAGTTATGCCCGGCTTTGTGCAATTGCATCGAAGAGTTCATGTCAGATGCCTGCCCTACTGCCACCCGCCATGTTGAAATTGGTTGCTTCTACCGGCTCATGACGACGGAGGCAGCTGCGAGATCAATTAGGCCGCGGCTTCGCATGTCAAAGTTGCAATCTCCGGCTCTCGAAACAGGATGGTGGTGCCAAAGGCTATTTTAGCCTTCAGGCCTCATGATCGGGTGGAGCAATTGGCTGGGGAGGGCTCACATGCGCGGTGCATGCTAGTGGCGAACCGTAGGGTTTCACATGCGCTGCCGTGCTCTCGCCTGGCTGCATGGGCGCAGATCGCGCCCGCAACTGACGAGCTGGCTCTACCACGTGCAAGTGGCAGGGTTCCATGCAGAGCATGGCGAGTGCTTAGCTCCCAAATTGGGATGACAAGCCGTATTGAGCGTGTTCTCGGCGAAGATCAAATCAGAAGTAAGGAACGGTTGGTGCGCCAGCTGCTAGATGAATAGGGCTGTGTCTGCTTGCAAATAACATCAGTCCGTGGGATTGCTGGCTCCATTGTGAAGACACGCCAACCAGCCCAAACCACCAGGGGGTAAGCTGATGGCCCCAGCCGCGAGTCAGCCGCAGGCAGCCGTTCGAGGTAAAGAGGCTCCAGACGGCGTCCGGGCCCCAAGGCTATAGAAAGCCAGTCCGTGTGCATGTTTCATGGGGGTCTTGGAAGCTTAGAAAGAGAAGCGAAAAGTCTCCGGCCTAACACGTGGAAAACCCAGCCGCCAGCAATAGACGTTGGCTTCTCTCAGCTTGGTCCCCTCCAAGGGGGTGTTTTCCAGTTTGGTTTCCTGTGTTTCATGTTGATTTCCATTCAAAGCCGTGCTTGCCAAGTAATGCAAGTGACCCCCTGCTGCGTGATATGTTTTTCAGTCGTTCATTTCAGACAAAGGTAGGACTCCTCCTGCGGAAGCTTGCCATTTAATCCCTACTGCGGACGTTGAACCTTTCAAGGTTGCGGAGTTGCTTCACAGTAGGAACCGAGGGCAGTGAGGCTTTGGCTGTCCACGTTCCACTTGTCAAAAGGATGAGCCGGGATTGCATTTCTGAGCTCAGAAGCGCTGCGCACTCGGATTCCAGGACTAGGGCCCAGCAGTTGCTAAGGCCATCTCAGCCGGTGCTGGCCGGGCGCCCGGATGCAGAGATCTCAATTTGATTGGATGTACACCGTAGGTGTCGTGGGAAATTGGCCCAGAGCAGTTTGGAGCTCTTTGAGGGCGTTCGGGTAGGACCTTTGGGGTTGCTGAGGGGGCCTGGGGAGCCCGCCGGGACCGCCAGAATGGGAGCAGATGGACCTGAAGCCAGCTGGGTGGATTGCCGTTTGCTGTGCCAAAAGCCATCCCAAGAGGGGGTCCCACCAGAAGTGCAGTCAGTGATTGGCTCTTAGCCTTTGGCATCTTTTGTGCGTTCCACGCGTGCCAACGAGCTGCCGTGATGTGTGATGTCAAGCGACTCTGCAGCCATTGATTCTTATAAGTGCCTCGCGGCCGCTTCTGCGAGTTCAGGAGCAGGCCCGGTGGGGATGTCCATTGACTCCAGAGTTTTGACCTACGGTGTGGGCTAAGTCAAGGGACGCCCAATCATATCTATGTTGAGATTTAGGTACTGTTTTGTTATGATTGGCATGTATGTGCTTGTTACGCCCGTTTTTCGATTTGAATATGATGTTAATACGAGCCTAATATGTTTGACGTAGAACTCGTAAAGCAAATGAACGTCGTGTTAACATTGTATTGAAGTAAAGTCTGATATCATGTTCAAATATGATGTTAATAGTGATCTTAATACGATTTGTTGCACACCCTGCTTTCATGTGCGACGACTTTGCGCTTTTATTTATTGACATCGCAAGTGCAAATCGCAAAACAACACGATAGAACACCAAGAAAAGAACAACAGTTAAGCGGCTGACAGCGCAGGTCACAACCCAAGACATCCACAGGTCGGAGCTTGCGCCACACCGGAAACTACGCGTTTGAGGAAGGGCAAGGCACGAAGGCACATCAATCTAAGAAACTGGATATGCAGCTTGGATTGGCGGTCCAGTTTGGAGCTCGCCCCTCAGAATGGGGCCAGCAGTGCTTTGTGCAGCGCATGTCTGCATGACGTGAGGTGCTGATGGAGCCCAAGGCCAAGAAGGTACGGCTGCTTTGGAAGTCGACCACGTTTTGCTTCTTTGTTTGAAGGCGAGAGGTTATGACGGGTAGGTCACATGCATTTCTATCTTTGAGGTGGCTTTGCTTTGGCCCCGCGCCTTTGCAGCATGCTTTGCAGGCTCGGATTCTCTCCAGTGATGTGAAGGCCCCGAAGCTGGCCGCTTGGCGTGCGAAGCTGCCCGAGGGCCTTTCAGTGGCGGCCTGGGATCTCAAGCGGCCGTTGACTGCCAATTTGCATTTGATACGTTTTGCATGCCAGTGTCTCCCTTTTTGGCGCAAAAGATTCAAGATGGCAGCTTGTTTTTGAACTGCTGGGAACAGGCCCCACCTCGGCCATCGCTTTTGCACTTGCGCATGGCTTCATGTACGTACTGAAGTTCCCCATTTCTTGCAGACCCTGTTGCGCGTCCAGTTCAGATCTTGCGCTGCTTTTCGACGCGCAAGGCTTGAACCAAGACTAGTGCTTCACGCTTGAACACTTGCTTCCTTCCCTACCGCATTTGTGCCAAGATGCATTCCCTGAGAAGCTCAAACGGGGCGCTGGGCACAGGGCACGGGGCAGGGGGCAAGGGAATGGACGCCAAGGTGAAGGTGGCCACGTGCAACTTGAACCAATGGGCAATGGTGCCTTGGCCTCTGAGATGCGTGAGATGTGGTATCTCCTACCGGTTGCTCACTTGCTTGATGGCACGCACCGGACTGGTGCCGGATATGTAGATAGCTGGGCTTGATTAGGCAAGCGGCAAGTTTTTTGTTTGTGCAGTGAGGAGGCTGCTTGGGATGTATTCCTCGCAATGTTCAGTGTTGAGGAAACCCTGGCCAGGCGCAGCGGTGACCGCTTCTGTGACCCCAGAAATCCTACAGGGGGAAAAATAGAAGTTGGAGTGAACTCCCGAGACGAGTGTTTGGGCTAAGGACTTCAAAGGTAACCTTCACCGCATCAAGGAGTCCATCAAGGAGCGTTTGGCTGACGGGCTTAGGCCACAGATTGCGTGGCTGCAAGCCGATGGCTTGGTTTCGAGTTCCCCCCTGCTGTGCCGATTCCCTGGTTTATGGAACAGTGCGGGGTCTCTAGGGGGATTGCTTGTTCTTGTTCAGAGGTCGTCCCAAGCTCTTGCAAGCGCAGTTCCTTGAGACATTTTACTCTGCCTTGCTCCCACTGCCTTAGACTCTGACAAAAGGTCCTTGCTCACCTGGCTCCTCCCTTCAGGAAGCTTGATCAGACTCAATGTTGGAAGGCTGCAGGCCTCCGCATCTTCCTCTTGGACGGGACAGCAAAAAGCCCGGGCCATGCGCAGGAGGCCAAAGCACAGGGCTGCACCTTCCGTACGGGGCCGGAGCTGGAGATCACTGGGTACACTTGTGAGGCGAGAGTCGATGGGTTGAGGGTGAGGGAATTTGAAGATGGTGGGCTTGGTGTTGCCTTAAATCAAAAGTGAGATTTGTTTGTGAAAGGTGCTGGTTTTCTCCTGTCAAGAGGTGCTCAGCTCTGTTCCATGCATGATATGGCAAGCATTTTGTTGCGGTTGTCCCTCTGAGATGAGACACCCTCCAGTATACAAAATGACAAAATTATCGATGATGTTTGGGGTGGCTTGTGAAGCTTATGTATCCCTCGCGACTATGATGCATCCTACAAGTGAGCTCGCCCCACAGGGTCTCAAGCCCCACATGCACTGTCAATATGTAACTTTTCGGTTGACTATGACCCAAGGTAACCTCGTGGCATGGAGTCTTTGAACAAGCCTCGCCCAGAAACTGCTTGAATTCAGGTCTCTTAGGGTCCGGGTCTTGACTTGTCATAATCCCAACGCCGCAAGAGGACTGGTTCCTGGAGAATGACACGTTCTTGTCGCCTGGCAGCAATTTGTGGGCAATTTCTTCCGCGGAGTTCTTCCGCTGCTCGTGAGGCATTCCTGGTCGTCCATGGCTGACATCCTCAGAAGCAAGATCACGGATGGCATCCTTTGCGACATTGGCATGGCAGCCACTTGAGCGCACGTAATCTCAATGGGCTTTGCGGGCCGGACGAAGCTATGGTGCCACGTTGCCTGTTGGAAGTTTAATCCATGCATCTATCACCCATGGCAAGGTTTGGAGCCCTATCATGTTCAGGTGATGCACCGGAATGTGCCCTACAATTGTCGGGTGTGGGTCGTCAACAGTGCCACAGCTGCAGTGACGAGTCTTTGCTTATTTTGCTTGTTGCCCACCTCATGATGCGCATTCATCATAGGCGGATGAGGAGCTAAGTCAGGAGTGCTATCGGAGTTGGAACCTGCATGCCGCAGGCAAGATTGTCGGGATCCGGCCAAAGATCTACCTGGCCAATGATGGCAATTACAGGGAGATGCGCTGGTTCACTCCTTGGTACATTGACCCCAGCAAAGCAGGCCTGGGCAAGGCATCACCAGTGAAACCAGGTGCAAGCAATAAGGGTTATGAAGGTGAAAGGTGGGTAACCTCCGTCACATGATCCTCCAGTGTGCTTGGGTTGCCGCAGCATAACCCCTTGTGGAACGCTGGCCCATTTGAGGGGACAATCCCGCTCAGCGTGTCTGAATTCTGAACAGTTATTGTTGGCATGCAGCCAGCTGGAGTAGCTCACGTATTCCAGGCTTTGGGGAGCTCGAGGAGTACTTCTTGCCCCGGGAGATCGGGGAAATCACGGGTCAGTCCAAGGTGCCTTTCGGAGCCATGGCAGATTCCAGTGCTGTGGTGGAGCCCCGTTATGCCATGGCCAACGGACCCCTCTACATGGGTTGGTAGGGACGGGCATCGACCTTTGTATAGGGCACTTAGCCTTAAGGGTCCCCATTCAGAGAACCATGGGCATGACTTGAGGCATGACCCACGAAAGGAGTTTGGCCATCGCACACGTGGGTGTGTTCTAAACGGGGGGCTGTCAGAACTTCACATGTTTCTTCAAGAGTGTGGGCCCTTGCGGTGCTGCCTCGCGATGCTTCAACTTTAGAGCCTCCGGCTCAGTCCGCCGACATTGGCATCTAGCTTGTCTCCTTCTTCCTCTCGCCCGTGTCCCCCTAGTATGCTCTTCTGTCCTCTCTGGTTCCCCCACCCTCCCCGACACGCCGAGCAATGTCGGCGGAGTGTTGAGTGCCACCAAGAGGGTGCTCCCAAAAAGGGCGCCGAACCATGCCTCCAAGTAAAATGTTGGGAAAGGGTGGCGACCAAACAGGGCGTACAATTGCGAACAGGAAGGCTCGCCGTTTAGGGCACCTTAGTGCTGGGTGGTATGTCATGGCCACTGCATGTCATTTTGGCGGGGTGCGCGGATAAGCTGATTTCTGAGGGGTGTTGAGGTTGCCCCTTGTACGGCATTCTTGCTTGCGAGAAGCGTGGCTTAGCATGGCCCAAGTATCCGACACGAAGGACATTGGGGGCGACACTTGGAAGGAAGCTGGGGTTGGGGAATTTGCCAGGACATTTGGGGGAAACTGGGAAGAAATTGGGGGGAAGTCGGATGGAAATTGAAAGGAAAGTGGGAGGGAATTGGTGAGAAAGTAAGGCGCAATTTGCGGGGAAGCATTGGGGGAAATTAGGGGAAATTGGGGGGAAATTGGTGCCAATTGTCAAGGAAATCGGAAAACACAATGTTTTTTTCAATGGTGTCAGCAAAGGAAAAACACCGAACACCGTGTGTCTCAAAGTTTTCCGCAAAAGGCAGCACAAAACCTCAGCCGGCAGAAAGAGGCGGCGGGAGGATTCGAGCCTGGGACCCCCGTTTCTCCAGACCCGCTCCCCGAAGACTACGTTTAGTGGAACGGGGATGGGGGGGGGGGAAGGGGGGGGGGGAGGGGGGGGGGGGGGGGGGGGGGGGGGGAGGGGGGGGGGGGGGGGGGGGGGGGGGGGAGGGGGGGGGGGGGGGGCGACCGAAAAACCATGCGTATTTGACGTGTCCCGGGGGGGGACTAAGGGGGGGGTTATCCTCTATCCTCTCTTAGGTATCCAACAGTCCTCTCTTAGGTATCCGACACGCCGAACAATGTCGGCGGATTTGTTCATACATAGTGGGGAAGCAAGTTGCGACACAGATGTAAATAGTTGGAATATACCAGCACTCATGGTTGCCTGTAAGAACAATTTCAATGCAGCACAAACGGAAGCGTGTTTCGACATGATATTGTACTTTGCATGAATTTAGCTCTACGCACTAGTATGAATATATATGTACGTTGTACATGTTTGTGTCCTGCCCTGCGCGGTACGCCCCACATTCAAATGTAGGATGTTGAATTCCCTTTGAGCAATCCCACATGTCTCTGCACCGGATTCTTCATGCTTCGAGCACGCGCTGTGCTAGGAATCTTCGCCGTGTCCACCAAGGACATCACACGGGTGCCCTGCCGTTCACTCCTTGCCCTGCCCTGATTTTGACAATCCCGCAATTTGTTGCACCTTGCGTAAACTTGCTGCTGGAGGCAGCGTGTGTGGAGAATGCTGGAACGTTTGATGTTGCTATGGCGTTTTTTTTGGGCATGTTTGACTGCTCGCCTACTGCTTTTATCGCTTTGCTGTACTCGTACATTGCTGATGACAGCGCCCCCCCCCTCCAGACACGAATCATGGCTGCACGACAAATTGTGGCAGAAGGGTGTTTTCGTGTAGGTCTGAGTGTTGCCTTACCCTTTTGTTTGCCAACGTGTGGCACTTGGGAAGCTGCCATCTCCAGATTTCTGACCTTTCTGTCAGGTCCAGTTGTACTGTGTCACAGTGACACAACTGGGCAAAGCCCGGCCTCCCCAAGGCTTAGAGGGCATGGCCATCCACCCGCGGTCGGAAATTTCGTGCGAAGCCAACCTCCCCAAGGCTTTCAGTTGGCGTGTCGTGTTGGCCATTGCGGAAATGAACGACTGAACGACTCCCGGGTTTTCAGCCTCCCTCAAACAAATGGAACCTGTCAGCCGCGCCCAGCCCTGGAGGACACCTGCCTAGCCACCGAGACTTGCGAGGAGTTGTTCACCCCGGATGCCCCCCACATCAAGCTCTCGCTGGATGGCGCCACGTCAAAACCCTTGGCCACGTTGGTATGTCATGTTTCAGTGGTTCTCATTTGCCACATTTGATGTGTTTCAGCAGAGCACTTGGTACAGATTGACGTGCGCGTGCCATACTATGGAGCTTGCTGCTTTCTCAACTTCTCAGTTTGTGGAGCAAGCATTTGGTGAACGCGAATGCCTGCGGAACGCAAGGTGTGGAGATTATCGCCAACGGATCCGGCAGCCACCATCAGCTGAGGAGTCGCATCGTTTGTACTGCGGCTCATGGCTAGTTGACCGCCGTGGCCTACTTTTGCCTGAAGCGAAACAAGAAAAGGACAATTGCTGGTAATCTCTTTTCGAGGGAAACCATGTAAACCCTCAGGACTGAATCTTGCGGCCTGGGGGTAGTGAGCTTCTGGGTTCCAACATGTGCATCAGAAGTTGCTTTGTCCTTTGAAGGAAGCTGGACAAGCGGATCGACTTGGTCAGGGGTGCCACTTCCAAGAGCGGCGGAGTGTGGCGCGGATGCGGGTAGGGGAGCGAGAAAGGCATCGGATGTAGGGGGGGTGAAGTGAGTTGCCTTCTTTGACAGCGGGGACTGCCCTCTGCTCGGGGGTTGCTGCATGTTCAAGGTGTTTCTTCTTGCTATCATCCAAAGAGACTTTAGGTCTAGGCGAGTAGCCTGTTGTCTGCTCAGAAGGACCATTAATGCAAGACATAGCCGGGCTCTTTCAAAATGAGGCCAGGTAAAGAGCGCCCCTCGTGTGCCGAAAAGCGTTTTGTGGCTTGCAATGATCACCGGTTGGCTTCACCTTGGATGCCATCCAGAATGCAGGCTGGTGTGTGAGGTGACCTTGATCCGGTCGTTTGGATAGCTCGGGCCAAGGTACCTGTACGCCAACGTCAAGGGTGGCGATGGAGGTGAGCAACTTCACATGGAACGGAAGACCTCCCAGCATAGCCGGTGAAAGCAAACAAGCGGGCTTGCTCGAGCTTTGCATCTTCTCTTGCCTGAGTGCAGGTCGACTCTACTACGATGGCTGCTGCATGGTTTGGAGCAATGGGAAGCTCTTGGCACAGGGGACCCAGTTCGGCATGCTGGATGAGATCGAGGTAGTGGTCGCTTGGCTGACTTGGCTGGGTGCTGCAATTGGGGATCGTCATGATGGAACTGTTGCAGCAGTGATCATTTTGTGGGCTACGTTTGCGTGTTGTTTCTCCATATGCTGGCTTTGCGCGACGCCCCCGTTTCGTGCAGAGCATGACCAACCGCCCACTGCTTAGTGGAGCCGCGGGGGGACGCGTCCGACGCCAGGTGGCCACCGTGAACCTGAACGACGTGAGGTCCATGCGCTCCAACTTCATTGCCAGGTCCTACCAGGCTTCCTCCACCCCCACGGTGCCCCGGGTGGAGGCCAGGGCCAAGTGCGGTGCACCCTGCCTCAACTCAAGAACCCGGGGGGCAACGGTGGGGCAACGGTGGGGCAACGGTGGGGAGCGCAATTCAGCTATATCAATCGCAGTGTGAGGCCAGCGTGTATCATTTGTTTGCAGCGAGTTTTTAGGGCCACACTCGGGGTAGTCCGGAACTTTCACTCGCTCCGGTGGCTTGCCGTGGCTTGCCAGGTGGATTTCAGCTGCGGCCACCCTGAGCCTTTGTCCATCAGCGAGTCGCAGCCCATCCAGACGCTCGGCCCAAAAGATCAGGCTGTTATTCGGGCTGAATTAAGGGGGAAGGAGCTAGCGGATTATTGTTTGCTTTACGGAGCAGTTGCGAGCCACTCGCCATGTCTAACTCCCACGTTGAGTTTTGTCCAGGGCACAACTGCGATTTTGTTCACCAACACTGTGCGAGGTACAAGTTGTACGGTACAAGGCAGTCAGTTTTTCCACACCCCCTTGTTCGGCTCGTTTGAATGCAAAATTCCGCTGCCAATCCGAAACTCATTTCCATCATGATTCTTTACACGAAGCCAATGGCGTTTGGTCATTGGCTAAGGCCCTACATCTGCGGCCCGATGGAGGAGATCGCGTATGGACCATCTGCATGGCTCGTGCCCCAGGAGTCGAGGGTTGGCTTTGTGCCCTGGATCTGTGTACCTGAAGGGGACGGAAGTGACGGAAGTATGAATCGTAGAAGATACATGGTACATGCGCATTTTCGGCAGCTATAATCCATTGCCGAGAGGCGGTTCACTTTCCTAAAGCCGATTCCACCTGGAAGATTCGGAAACCCTGCTTTGTTTTCTGTTCTGGAGCTGGGGAACAGGGAAACCAGTGAGACAACAATGTGCAGGCCAGATACCTGCCAAACACCTAGGGCTTCTTTTCTTGTAGCAGTTCTCTTTGATTGGGTCAACGCGGGCGAATGTGAGCAAAAGTAGCAGCGTAGCGCTTAGAATCATGGTCCGTTTCTGGATGACAGGCGGGACAACATGCACCAAGACAGCCCAACAGATGTGTCCTATGTCCATGTATGTCCCTTTCTTCAAAAAATCAAAATACAGAAAAACTCACCTGTTGGCTGTTGGGCCAGTGCTTATTGAGTGTGTTTGTTCGGTGGGGTGATGTTTAAAGTGTACATTTGCATTTTGCCGAGCTCACCTGACAAGCAGAATCCAGCTCAAAGAATTTCCCGTATCCAATTTTAGGAGCTATTGTACATGCGGGTGAAGCGCGGGTGTTTGAAGCGCGGGTGAAGTCGGGGCATCGAGGCTTTGGGACTACCTGCGCCGCTCGGGGCAGCGGGGCTACTTCCTGCCGCTCTCCGGCGGGGCGGACTCCTCCTCTACCGCGGCGCCGCGCGGCAAAGGCTTGGCTTCCAGCGGTTCAGTGGCACAACGAACATGGCACAACGTCAGGTTTTTGGTGGTGGGGGATTCGGGATGGGGCACCTCTCTTGATTTCCCAACAAAATCAGGGTGACTCGAATTTTCCCATAGCCCAGGCGACATGCTGCAGATGCCCAGGGATATCCAATCTTTCCTGTTTTTTGGGGAGCGTCCCTTGAGAACCAGCCCGCACAAAGGCGTTCCGTGCTTTTCCCTGGATATTGACCAAGGACCAGGGACTCGCTTGATGGCTGCATGTTTTGGCTCGCTCAAGTAGCGTTTTGTAGTCGGGTGCAAACAGGTGATTCGGACGTTTGAAGGAACAGCTCGAACACAGAGCAAGTGTGGAGTAGCGGCTGCGCTTGATGTGAAAGTTGCGGGAATCGCATGAGAGGGCGACATTCCTTGTGCATCACTTATTGCGTGCTACTGCCATCAAGGATCCCAAGCCTGCAACACAAACAACTTAGTTGAACCGGGGGGAGGGTGTCTTTAGCTTTGTCAGTATGCATTGCTGTAGCCAAAGTTTGCCGATCATAGCAGCTCAGCGTGGCCAGCCGGAACCGAGGCTGGTGGGCATCATGCCGGGATCTTATGAGATCTAAGCCAGATTTAGCAGAAAACTATTTGTATGCTTGCCATGCGGAGTTTGATAGAATCATCAGATGCTGCCAGACATGTTAGTTGTCCAAATTGCAACTCGCTGGCCATCAGATCTGCGGTAACTGAGGGTTGCTCACAGAGACTTTCACCCATGGCCAGCCTTTTGCCAACAGTTGAGGTGCCAGCGTGTTTTCCAGGAGCTGACCGAAGGAACAGAGAGGCGCCTTGGTGTTTGCAGTTAAGGGTCAGAGGTTGAGTTTGTTCGCCACTTGCAAGAAGCAGGAGATGGACATGAACGCATGACTGTGCCAGAGGGCGCGAATGGATGGTGCAGACTCTCACCTGAGATCAATGAGGTCTTGATAGGGCATCCCCCACCCTCACGCACAAAGACCTCATTCAGCCCCGTGTTTGCCGCCTTGGGCAAGGCGTCTTTGCCACAGCTAACCTCGTCCGCCTCATAAAGGCAGCCTTGAGAAGCTTCTCGCAAATGGCAGTAGGTCTTATTAGGATTGAAATATGTCACTCCAGGAAAAGTATTCCCACGACCCCTCAAAGGCCAGGCCCACCAGCACAGTTCTCCATTTGGATGGCATGGGTGCTGTTTCAAACCACATGGACTGCTGGTGGGACTTCAGTTGCCCCAGGTCTCCACAGGCCAAGGCACGTGGGGTACCCCTGCACTGCGCCATATGCCCAATACTTCGCTGAGGTGAAATCTGCCTTGGGGGGAGCTCCCGAGGTCCAAGGCGATGACCCTGGCGGAGATCAGGAAGGTCACGCGCCGGCCCTTCTACACCCCCCCGTCCTGGCAGGACGAACCTGGGCCCGGGGCGTGGTGCTAGGTTTGGCCCAACGGCAGCCCGAAGCCGGGCTTGACGTCAGGCAAGAGAAGGCGAAATGGGAGACTTATGCCCTGGGCTGCATTGTAACTAGCACATCACCGATCCCTGGGTCACAGTCCTTTCAGGAGGAAAGGAGTACCTGCGGATGAGCATAGGATAAGCGAGCTACGCAGATGTGTTTCTTTGCTGCCCTTCGGCGAGTTCCAGCACAACTAAACTGATAGACTCGAATCTCAAGTTGTTGGACTTCAAGGTTTGTGGCAATGTCAACCAGGGTTGTTCTTTGGCCGATTCACTAGTTCTTTCAGGAAGTGAGTGAAGATCGTTGCAGTTTGGAGGCTCTTTCTTGTCTTGCAAGTAGCGGGCCTTTCAGGCACGAGCCGTCCCAGTAGCAATGCCCGCAGATTGAGTCAGGTTTCAATTCCCCATTGCGATGCAGCTTTGCCAGATTTGTGGGAGCAATCTGCAGTGGTTGTGCCGCGTAGCCCTGAAGCGACAGATGGCCAGGATTTGTGTGGGAAGATCTTCGTGACCTGCTACATGGCATCAGAGCCTCAGCTTCATTGGCCGAGCCAGACAAGCAAGGGGCATTTGGACAATAAAGGTTGATTTTGGATGTTGGGTCGGCTTGCCAGACATGCGTCTCGCAAAGGTGGTGCCCAAGCTTGCAGCTCATTCCGGGCCACCTCGTGGGGTTGAGTATACCGTGGTTATGCCTGTCAAAGCCAGGGCTTGGCAGTGGAAAGTACAAGTGTTTGCAAATGTTGAAATGCTGATGCACGGAAGCTAGCAATGAACTTGGAACCTTTGAAGTTGCCTTGGTTGAGCAGCCCGAGGAAGTCGCATTCCCGAGAACAGACTGTTAACTAACTCCATGCCTGACTAGTACCTTCCATGTCGCCATTTTGAGGGTCTCCTTTGGCTTTAGGTGCAGGCCCCAGCAATTTCAAGCTCCGGATCAGGAGCACAGCGGCTCGGAGACTAGGACAAGAGCCAAAAACTTGGCTCAGCAGATCGGTGCCAACCACACCTCCATAGCGCGCTGGCTGCATCCCAGTCGTGCAGAGCGGGTTGAACCCTCATTTTTTCCTAGAACGATCTATTTTCTTTTGGTTGTGGCGGAATTAAATAGACGTGGAAGTCACAGTTCTGGCCTAGTCAACCCAAACGCTGCTGCACGTCAGCTTTTCGCGATTGTTGCTCTTTGCCGTTGCTACCGTTGCAAATTGTACCTGGACACTGCCACCGCGGACGAGCATTGTTTCCCAAGGCAATTTGCTAAGCTGCCGAAGCGTGCAGCGACTGATTGGACTAGGTTAAAGACAGGCCCTAGGTGCAATCGGGCTGCCTGCAACCCGCTAAGGCAATTCGACCAATGACGGATGCCATCGTCAAGGTCTTTCAGCAGTGCAGCTGGGCAAGCTTGTGCAAGATCTGAGATAACCCCTCCACCAATCCATGCACCTTAGAAATCCTGACATATCCTTTCATATCCTTTTTTGGTTATCGCCGTCCGCTTGGGATGCGCCTGCCATGCAGTGCCGAAGATTCGACCTGCGGCTCTGACTGGCCATGGCCCAGGCAACTTCGAAGGCACCAAGATCGACCGATCCAAGGCACCCGGGATGTGGGATACATGGGGGCACGGTCAAATATGAATCTGCTGTAAAATGGCACCCGGCAAGATGCCACCTGCGCTAATTTGGCAGGCTGACGGATGCCACGACCCGTAAGATGTAAAGCACAGACTGGCCTGGAGATGATATTTGCCGAGCTGATGGCAGAGCGAGGTGCTGGGATGTTGCACCCCGCCCTGCCGGCTTGGTGTACTGAGGGGAAGCTTAGGGATCGGGTGCTTGGCCAACGCCGCAGCCTAATTAATATCCGTACACACTTGTCGTGGTTGTCTTGGATGCGAAGACCCAACACAAACACGTTTAGGATTTGCTGAACTTGGGCGGCCGGCGCAGGAGTTTGGACACGGGAGCGAAGCAGAGCCCAAAACTGTATTGGGCCAGTATGTTAACTGCAGTCTGGAAGCCTTGATCATCAGGTCGGTGCGGCTTTATCACGAGGTAGACCGAATCCTCGCAATCAAAGCCTGGGTGGTTCACCATTGATATGCGCGTCTCAGGTTGTCGGTAGACTTATTCAATGCTAGGTGTTGAACCCTAGTTCAAGTCGAGAGAACTTGTGTCCCATCCCTCCTGCATCCCCTAGGTTTCGAGGTTTGTGTTAGAGGTTAGGGATGTAAACCATTTTTAACGTTTGGGTTCAAGGTTAAGATTAGGGGTTACAGCTTAGGGTTAGACGGTTGTCGGGGTTAGAGGCGCTTGTTTGAGGTTAGGGTTGGAGGTCAAAGTTAGACGTTGGAGTTGGAGGGGGTTGAGGGTTAAAGGTGTCAGTGTTTAGGGTTCAAGGTCAGGGTTAGGGGCTAGAGCAGGCAGAGTCACAGAGGTTGGGGTGAAAGATTGGGTAAGAGGTTGGGGTTAGAGGCCCAGGCCAGAGGTTAAGGCTAGAGGTTAGAGGCTAGGATGAAAGGATAGGGTTAGAGGTGTTCCTACAGACTAATTTATGGAACTGTTTTCGGTTTGTGTTGACCTTCTGACATTTGCGCTCCCAGTTTGTCATTTCCGCGCACAAACACATAATCTTTGGATCTATTATGCACGCACGCATGCTATAGTGAGCATGAGTCAAGCGACAGGGGTGATGACCTGTGATGACCAGATTGGGCAGAACGATAGAAGACGTTTCGTCTCAAGTGTAACGGCAGCGATCATCCATTTTTGTTTCTGCCAGCCGGTTCGCAGGTGAAATCTGATGCCGTCTGGAATGCCAGCGGGACTGAAGACATTGCCTTGCAGAACATCCAAGCCAGGAGTCGTGCCGGGCTTAGGCAACGCGCTCGTTTTGCGCATGTTCAAGGCGACAGCGTTAGGCAGGTGATCCCACAGAGCCAACCTGACAACATAAGTTCACGCAGCAGCATGACGGCCGTGCTTCACTAGACAATGTTATGTCATTATGTGTTGGTACAACCTCGGTGGCTTGGGATGAGATGTTCGCTCAGGTATGGTGATGGCCTACTTTATGTCGCAGCTCATGCCCTGGGCCACTGACCAGGCGTGCCGACTTGGCTTGCCTTGGCGGGTACATGTGGATACCGTGCCCCTCACATGAGCCAGCCCACGGCAGTTCAGGTCTCACTGCAAACTGGGAGAACAAAACCGCGGAGCCTTGTCTCGGGCCATTCGATCCAGGGCTTTTGCTGCCTAGTTGGTTTCAGTCATGTACCGGTGCATGGTCAGGAGGAGGGCACCACTGAACTTTGCTGCTTGCTTAGGTGAGCATCGTCTCAGTACATGTCCTCCCGTCGCAATAAGCAGAGCATGTAGTCAACTACGTGTCCACTTTTCAAGGAACAATTGCATGATATTGTATGCTTCCCTTGAAACGGGACAGATCCTATAGCTACATTTCTTCGCGGTGGGGCGTGCAAGGAAACGCCTGCCTCTCGGAGGGCCAATCGCTGGTTTCTCGCGCGGGATGTCCGCAGGCCATGGAAGGGGATGCGGGACCCGGGTGGGGCTCCCTGCTGGTGCTCGGCGGCTGGGTTGCAGGTGGGCCCTTGGACGGCTGTCAACAGGTGCCCCTTGTGGGTTGGCAGGGACACTAACGAGACGACATTGGGAAGACCTGTCTAGTTTTGACACATGTTTTGACACATTGGGAAGACCTGTCCAGTTGTTGCAATTTCGAGGCTTGAGCCTCTTCATCCTGCCCAACTCACGGATTTGAATGATTCAAGTGTATTTTGCAGGGTCAGCATTGCCAATTGAGCTTGGAGTGGTCGGCGTTCCGGAAATGCAGATGAATACGGCCATTGGGGGTTGATGAGGTAGCATGAGGTGTTTGGTTTCTGCCGGGGTTGGAGCTCGTAGCGAGGCATTGGCGCGTGATTTTTGCAGGGCGTCGCACGCGATTGGCTTTGCCCAGGGTTTCGAGGCAAGATGCCCAGGGTGGTGGGTGGTCCAGTCAACCAGAGCTGAGTTTCGGTTCGCTCACTGCGCACTCTGGGACTTTGGGGCCTCAGTGACTCAGGCTCCGCCAACGTGGACGAAGCCTTGCGGGGCTACTACACCAAGTATGACTGCAGCGCCGCCGATATCAACCCCATCGGTGGCTTCTTGGACTAGTTTCGGACAGAGAGGCTGTGGCCTTCAGGAGACTTCTTTGGATACGTATGATACGTGACTTCTTGCGGGCAGAGGGCCCAAGAGGAACGTGTCCCTTCAGCAGCCCCAGTCAGTTTCCATGGGGTTCAACGGCATTCTTGCGTACTGACATTTCTGTTTGGGCCTCAAGACCTTGAAGGTGATAGCTTCTCCTAAAGCTTCTGAGGTAAGTCGGTAAGCATGACGGGAAATTCGGTTCCCATGTTGTTCATTGCTCGGGCCTGGACGCCCGGATTGAACCCGCCAGAGCCGCACAGGCATCAACAAGCGAGATCTCAAAGCGTTCCTCATTTGGGCCTCGAAGGAGAGGGGCATCGGCCACTTGGGCAGTGAATGGTTTAGTTGAATTGAGACCGACCGGCAACTTGCCGGGCTGAAAGCAACTATCAACTGCAATATCTCATGATAGCGGGGTGGTCAACATGAAGAGCACAAAACGATAGCAGGGTCCAAAAAGTGCTATGAAGACTGTTGGGTATTCGCAGCGGTTCCCGGCACTGTGCCGTTGTACAAGTAAGTGACCAGGGGGAGCAACATGTACACATCAAGGCCCCTTCGGGCCCAGGAGTAAGCGGACGGCTATGGAAAGTTGGCTCAGCTGGCACCGTTTGGTTCATGTCTACGGTTCTCTGGCGAATCTTTGGAGCCCCTTCATGCTGTCTGGGTTTCTGCTTGGCCTTGCGCATGTTGACTCGCCCTTGAAGGAGTTTCAGGCTGCGTCAGTTGGTTGTGGATATACTGATATATACTGATATACTTGTATTCTTGCCTCAATGGCCTTGAGGGGAACTGGAGCGCGTGGCCAACGCGGTGCCCACTGCTGAGCTGCGGCCGGACAAGGCTGGCGCGGCCAACCACCGAGCTGACTTCAACACCCTGCAACGCGCGCTTGGAGAGCTCACCTGTGTTTCCCCGGGGGGGGGGAGGCAGGCAGAGAAAAGAAACTTCGAGACAACGCAGCAGGTTGCAAACGGGATGAGAGTCAACAGAAGTTGGCGCTGACCTCGTTACTCAGCCAAATTGCAGCTGGTCATTATGGCTTTGCGTTTGGCACGTATCAATTCTGCTCCGCGCCCGGTATGTGGCTCATGTGTTTGGAGTATGTGGCTCATGTGTTTGGAGAAGTTGGAGGCAATGCGCAGCTCGAAGATTGTGCCATCACCACGGTTGTATGCTTCTCAGACATCAGCCTACTTGAGCCATCAAATTCGAGCAGCACAAGTTGTTTATTTGGTGGCACAAGTTGGAATGTCGAAGTCATGTTAGCAGACGGAATTAACAACCAACAAACTGAAACCCTGGCAACAGCGTACAGGTTGTGCACAACCAACAAAGCAACCCCACATATCCCCGTGTTCAACCAGCCCACCCTTCTCCAGTCGCAGCAATACCATGCCTCCACTTTTTTCGCCTTGCGCTCTATCCACAAAAGGAAGTTGCGCCAAAGGCCGTCAAGGCCCAACCTGTGCCATGCGCTTGCGCCTGCAGCTTGTGCTGCTTTTGGGCCTTGGTCTGGTGTGGGTCCCATGGGCCCCCGCTCGCAGTCGGGGAGGGCGGCTGCAGAGGAAAGCGGCACCAAGTGTGGAGTCGGAGGCTGGGGGGCGGGGGGTCGTTGCGGCTCAGCTTCGGCCACGCGAGGTGCCAGAACGTTCTTTTGTTTGGGAGTGCACCTGCGTCGGACATGTGTTCATTGGACAGGCGGAGGTGGATACCATAGACACAGAGGAGATGATGGTTGCCTTCGGCCGGAATCTGTGGGCTGCCGCAGATGCAACTCGGAATTTCAACAAACCACATAAATTGATGCCAGGATCCCCAAGGCTGGGCACTTAGCTGCGTCAAGCGGCAGGCTGAGCCAAAGCTGCCATGTGTTCACAAAGGATCCAGCTGCATATTAAACAGCGGAAGCAGGCCCCCATGTCTTTTTGAGGTCGGTCAAGTTCCTGTAGATGCTCCCGTTTGACAGGTCCAACCCAGATGACCCCCCGCCCCCATTAGCGGATCATTAGCGCCCTTCCCCACCCCCAAGACCGATCCAAGCGCCGATCCAAGAGCCGACCCGAGGAGCTTCTGGAGCTGAGCGCGGCCCTGTCTTTGACGCCCGCGGGCGGGTCCCGGAAGTTGGGGGCCCTGGGCCTGGGGGCGGCCGGCTTGGCGCTGCGCAACGCCGCGGACATGATGCTGGACGAGGAGAGGGTGGAGCAGAGTTGGTTCTTTGCTTATTTGTTTATTTGTTTGTTTATGTTTTTGGGGGGCCCTTTTCAGCAGGATGATTGGATTTTGAAGGGAAGCCAGAAACAGGTTGATTCAAAGACCCGTGGGTTTCGCATTGTTGAGCAAAGGGTTGGCCCCTCACGAGTCCCCCACGTGTCGTTTCTGCGCAAATGCAGAATGCATTTAGCATTGAGCAGCTGGGATCCTTCCGGGCCGGGTTTCAAGAGGAACCAACATACAGCCACCCACTTGGCGGGCCATCCACTTGGCGGGCTGCTCGGTTTGGCTGCAAAGGCACTTGGAAGACTGACAGGATACAGGAAGTCCTCAGTCAGTTTATGTCAGTTTCCATGTCGGTGGGGGGGAGGTCGAACCCTAAGGTGGGATCTGTGGCTGGTTACATGGGGCTGGGAGTTATATCTTCCTGGATTAGCTCCGAGAAGGGGTTAGTTACTTTGGCGTACCCTCATGGCTGGAGGACTGGGAGAGCGCCATGGGCGAGCTGGAGGCTTGTTGGATGGCATGGGGAATGGAATCGCTGGATGAGGAGCTGCAGATGCCTGTGGCATCCAGAGAAAACATAGACAGCCCAATGAACAAACAAGCACCCAGCTTCCATTTGCCTGAGGCAATGTCTTGTATTTCCTTGTCGCTCTTGAATGGAAACTGTCATGGCTTGCATGTTTGTTACCATACTTCTCTTGCATATGCATATTGTTAAGATATGTGATGTGTAGGTATATGTAGGTATATGTTGTGATACACACATGTTGCATGGGTAAGTAAACAGAGTGAGGTCCTCCCTTGGCCAGTCGCTTGAGGTGGCGGCCGCCTCCAGTGAGGGCTTTCTGCCTGGGGAGTACCTGCAGGGCCTGGTAGACCTTTTCGCCTACGACCAGCCCTTGCCGCAGCTAGAGTGGAGAAGCGCCAGCAACTCCCTCAGAGCCTTGGAAGGCCATGGTCCCTTTGGTCCTTCGGCCTCTTTCCCTTGTGTGAAAACAGTGCCAGGTCCCCCTCGCAGAAAGCAACGAAGATCATCGACACATTCCTCGGGCATTCCCCCGTTTTCTAGAAACAAAACAAACAACATCTTCAGCTGGAGATGGGTCTGGTGGCCTCGGCAGGGGTTTCCCCGAACAAGTTGACAACTACTTGCATGCCTGGGCTGGCACTGGACCTGCTTGGCCGCTCGAGTTGAAGTAGCACGGGGAGGGAAACCGGGATAGTGGAGTTGTATTCAATTGTATTGATCTTAATCGCTATGTATATACACACATACCGACTCAGATAAACAGCCCTAAATCGCTGAATGGGGGCTCACTGCTGAGAAGGGCAGTTTCCATGCGGCAATGGCCATGGCATTCGTCCAGGTTCGGGCTCACAAGGCCTCGCAGCCTGACGGCAGATGCCATGTTCGCCCTAAGGAGCCCTCGCGAAGAACTTGGAGTTTATCGCCAACCGCTTTGAGGTGGGTGGTTGTTTCAGCTGGCAGCTTGCATGTGAACAAGTATATGAAGTTGAACATTGATGCCTTTTCCGGTCCCCCGGCTCGTGCGAGGAGTTCTCCCAAGACCTCGCAGAGTCCATGCGCCTTGCTGCGAGCTACTTCCGGGAAGCACGGCAGGTGCGGCGAACGGGAACCCAAGATTGGCAATCCGCAAGTGGATGAACAGGATGCCCCCCTGTAGCTGACCCCTTTGTGAATTCAATGAGCCACCCTTAACAAGTGGTCAGGGCCAACAGTCGGTCCCTGATTTTGATCAGGTTTGAGTTAGGGATGTGGCTTGATAGCAGGGTTTGCTAGGATGACAGTCAACATGGCAAGCAAGCCACCGGGAACCTACAATTGGGAAAGATTGTTTCCATGCTTGCAGGGGGGCCACGTGCCTTGCAAGCATTTGCCGGGCAGGTGCTGAGTGGTGGGCCCTTCCGCATGCCTCGGGACCCCCGGGTCAGCAGAGGCCCCCGCGGTCAAACCCGGCGGGACTTCTACGGCAGCTTTTATGGCCAAGCCTCGATCCCGGAGCCCCAGTTCACAGAGGAGACGGGGTCCCGGGAGAGCACTGCGCGAAGGGGTTCAAGTTGTAGGCATTGCTGATTCACACGCTTTGAAGCACAAAGGCTTCCCAGCGGTGCGACTTGGCGTTTTGGCACGGTGCTGTCACTAGGCTAGGTGCTTGGCGCCCCATGAGTTTGTTGCCACTGCTGTTGTTATCCGCGACTGCTCCTGCTGCTGCTAGCAGTGCCGCTTCTACTACTACGGCTACGACTACTACTTCTACCACCACCACCTCCACCACCGCCACCACATGCCACCACCACGACGACGACTACTACTGCTGCTGCTGCTGTTGCTCCTGCTGCTATGACGGCGGCGACTACGACTGCAATTGCTGCTGCTGCAGCTGCTGCTATGCGGCTCTCTGCCGCTACGGTTTCTACTAGTACCACTACTTGTGCCACTGCGACTGTTGCAACTAGTCACTTCTTCTGCTAGTACTTGTCCGATTTACTTATTTTGCTGTCACTGCTGCCACAGCTGTCAATTCCTTTTCTATTACTACTACTTACTGGTGCTAAGTGCGACAATGCTACGAAAGGCGCCAACAGCAACCAGCCGCACAAGCACAACTTCTTCCCATGCAAAAGAACGCCTGTTACTGTTTCCTTAGCCTGGCCATGACGACCCCCATGGCTCGCTTTGCACATTTTGCAAGTTTGCTCCTTGAAGGACGCGCCCCTGGGCAGCCCGGCAGCCAAGCTTCTGGCTGGCGTGCAGCAGGAGCTTTGGGGTGGTTACAAACAGCCGGCTGTCATGGCCGCAAGCAAAACATAAAGGAGTTGTTGTTTTCCAAACTTGTGACTTCCACCAGGAGAAGATCGAACCTTTTTCAACAACACTGCCACCCAGAGGAGCTGGAGGCGGCATCCTTTGCCAGCCGCAAAGAGCGGCGGCGCTTGCTGCGGGGCCTTGTGCGGCGCCTGCACCCGGACCAGAACCGGGGCAAGGCGGGATCCACCGGTTGGAAGTGCGTTTGTGCTGACTGATCTCGTGGTTTGCTGCTTCTTGTTGGTCGGAAGTGTTCTTGTGCTTTGCGTGGTTGCATTTGTGTGCATCGTGTACGCTCTTGGTGATGTTTGATCGAAAGGGATACACATCGCTGGTGGAATCCGAAAAGAAGCCGTGTTTGCCTTTGCTTTGGATCGCTGGATTGGCCTGCCTTTGCACTCATCCAAGAAGATCCCTGATAAAACGGCTTGCACGCTAGAGTTTCCTACCTGACTACAAAAAACACGTTGATTTATGTGGCTGCCCTTGACGCATTCCAACAGATTCCTTCCCGGAATGATATTTCATGACAAGTTGGCTCAGGTTGTCAACGCGGCTGAAGATGTGGGACTAAGGTAGATGGCACGAGTTCAATTGCTGTCGATAGGAGGGAAGGCTACCTACAGCTGGGCAAATTGCCAATTGCACCATCTGCCCCCACCCAACACTGAAGCAGCTTCCAAACTCATCCGAAAACCACGTAGTTGTGTCCGTGCTCATGCTTCGTGAAATTGGGGACTCTTGTAGGAACTGGGCTGTGTCCATTTTGTTAGTGCTGAGAGCAGGGTACTTGAAAGAGTCACGACGCAGCTTTAAGACAAATACTATCTGGCGGGGTTTAGTGGACAGGAACAAAGTCAAAGGCATTGGTCTCAAAGCTTCGGCACCGATTCACTATGGGTGCACCATCGCGCATGTTTTGGGGCACTTGAGGGCTGAGCCCGACGCCATGCCTAAATACTGGCTTCTACCACAAATCGATGTGCCATGACTCACCTGCGAGCCAGGAAGACGAGGTTACGCCAGCCTTCAGATATGTACAGCACATCCGTTCCGAGGAAATGGACCAGCGGTAGCTGGGCCATACCCCGTGTCACTGCCCAGCCGGAAAAAAGGCGAATCGCCACGTCGGCCTGCGCATGTTGGTGAGCTGCGATCTTGCCACAGTCCAGCCGGTTGGTGGCGTTTTGGTGTCTCTGAACCGGCACTGCCGGGTGGCCGTTCGCTGCCAGATAGAAGATGGCAAGAAGGTGGAGGAGCAAAGTGATGAGAAAGACATGGGCATGTCTTACGAGACCCGGACTGAAAGGTTGCTCAGCATGTCGCACTTGACAAAAGCCTGACAAGTGGTCATTTTTTGCGTTGGACTGTTCAAAAGGCCCAGAAACCGAGTGTGGTGAGGGGATGGTTGGCAGAGAGGTCTGTTTGACGATGGCTGCAACCTGTACGCAGAGCATTTGAAAGCAGCAGGTGTGGAGGAACTAAGTGCTTCAACAGGAGTGCCAAGAGTGGCAAGGCTTCTCAAAGTAGTTCTGTTTGGTTTGTCCCTGGCCAGTTGAGTTTGTCAAATCCGAAGCCACGGGAAGTCCCAAAACTGCACAACCAAGTAGAATTCCTGCTGCAATTGCGAGATGCGTCTGCATGCCTACGCGCGTGGCTTGCCATTCCTGTTCGCCTCAGGATGAGCTTGGCGATCTGGGGCACTTGCGGAAGGTGGCGGGCGACATATTGGGTGTCGCATTTGTGGCATGATGTGCAAGCATGTTTCTTGATTCGCTGGCAGGGCCCAAATAATTCACAGGCCCTGCGGACGCCCGTTCCAACTCTTTTTCTCAGTTCGTGGTAGGGGATGGGCTCCTGCCAGCTGTTGATGTTGGGGCCAGGCAAATTTTGCCGGCCAGCTTCACTGGATTGACTCGGACTTGGCAAGATAGGCACCAACCAGCCCAGATGTGTACTCGCGACTTGCCGGCCCGAGGCAGGCTTCCTTTGGAATGCAGTTCCCATGCCCAGTGGCAACGCAATCTAGGTTTGCCAGTTTCAAGCTGAGTGGATCCCAGCTGCCACAGTAGGAAACCAGCTTTTGGTTGAAGGACGGTGCCTTTGGCTGCCTACTGGTCAATGGAATCACTCGAAGCTTCCGTCTCATGACATCCGCATTCACTTCAGGTGGAGAAGTGCGGGCCGCTGTCCACCTTCTTAAAGCTGCGCCAGCTTTGGGCTCACAAGACTGCTGACTGGACCGGCCCACAGGACCGGAAGCATGAGCCGCGGGCGGGTGGTTTGCTGCCCTGGGAGCGCCCAAGGGGTACCCAACCGGACAAAAGCGCATACATTTTGAGACATACTCAATTGGGACATGGGAGGCCAGACGCCAATACTATTTCTTAGCAACAGTTGGCCCCTCTGCATGATCGGGACTGGATGTTTGATGAGCCGCGACGCCAGCCAAGCATGAATGGACCGAAAAAGATTAAATAATGAGTAACAACATATTCGTCCCACCTTCGTGAGTCATCTATTCTCCCCGACCGTAATAAACCCAAGCGATACAGAATATTCACACTTCCGTCAATTGCGCTTGTTTGCACAGACTTGTTTTTCTTCTTCTCTCTCTCTCTCTCGCTCTCCCTCGCTCACCGCCATTTGCTCACTTCCAAACTGTCCCAACCGGGAAGAAATGGCGGAGAGACAAGAGACCCATCCCTTTCCTTTCCCTTCTCCAGCTCTTGCATGACAGAGGTAAGTCAAAAGCTGGTAAGAAGGGAAAGAGAGAGGAAATGGAGTGAGGACACTCTCTCATTTATCTCTCAGCTGATCGACTTGGAGTCGAGCAATCAAGCAGCGACTCACCATTGGAATGTGTCAAAATTCCAGTCTCCAAAGTTTTTTCAAGCTTCGCCGAGCGAGGACAACAACAAGGCCATCACGCCCTCCATCCGCGTCAAGGTGCAACCCAAGACCTTCGATGAGAAGGTGGCCCAGAAGGCGCTCACCCCGATGGCCCCGGGCTAAATGCTTGTGGGCTGGCGGGAAAGCGAGTGGCCAGATTCCATTCATGTCAAAGTGTGGAAATGGGGATGAAAAAGCCTAGGTATAGAATTCTTGCAATCTATTTCTATGCTAGGTTAAGTGGCCAGGCCATGGTTGTAGCATGGGTAACCGTGTGGTGCTTCTTGAGTGGGTGAGACTTGTCTGACCAAGCGTTGTCTCCAGGTTCATAAGGCTCAAGCATTTTAAACTGTGTTTCTTCGACTGAACTCCGAGTCAGATTGGCGAAGCTCGTCTTTCGCATTGGGCTTCTTGTTCTTCTGACTTCATGCACGGTCATGTTTGGTGAAAGTTCTCATTGGGCTTGTGGGAATGTCAAGTTGTAGGCCATTGCAATACCAGATCTGACGGTCTTATCGAGTTTCGACCGAAACGGGGCAGGGCTCACTCACACGGGTGGGCAGGTAAGTAAGGGGCAGCATGGCAGGTGAAAGATTTCTTTTTCTACAACGCCATCAACCGACATAAAATGACGACCCTGACGCCGTCGTACCACGCAGAGAACTACTCACCAGACGACAACCGCCGGAGCCTCAAGTAGGACCTGGAGGGGTTATCAAATGGATGGTGCGCCTGAGGTTTCGACCTACGGCCCTTCCTCTTCCCCGCCACGTTTGATGCCCAGTTCGAGGCCATCGATGCGGTGGTGAAGGCTTGCCAGGGCTGAGCAGGCGCGCGAGTTGTTGAGCGCGTGAATGGTGGAGGGATCTCTGCCTGGAAGCCCGTGTTTGGGGCGCATGCGCCATATGGAGGTGAGCTGCAAGTTGGGTATGGGCAACTTTGGCTTGGCCAAAAGCAACTTTGAGGATAGATTCCGGTTGACCCTGTTGGCAGCTGATATGGGGACTTGTTTGAGTGAGCAAGGCCCGCAATAAGTGGCTATATACCCTGAAGACGAAAGAGCTTGCCGTACGTTGTAGAATGCAAACAATTTGGCGAAGCAGTGCAGCAGCGACTCGCCTTATTTGAAGGCATGCCCTGGCGATGCACCGCCGGGGGTGCCATGTTGCACCAGGCAACCAACCAAGCTGCCGATTGCAGCTGTTTTGCATGGGCGCTAGGCCTCAAGGGACACAAGCCGGAGGTTCAGCCCCTTGCCAGGTGGAAATCGATTAGATGGACTTTGTCTAAGCCAGCGCGGCGGAAAAGACCGACAATTTGCCGCTCTCAAGGATGATACTGGGGGACTTCTACTTGGGTTCGAGAGGCCGAAACTGCTTTGAATACGGCAACGCTGAGGTGTGCAAACCTGCCAAGTCCGTGCACCTGCGTACCCGGCTGCAAGGCTGGCGCTTCGTCTCTGGTCTTTTCTTCTGAGGATGGACGAACTTGGTTTTCAACTTTTTGAACCTCAGCAGTCATTGAAGCATGCGGCAGCCATGCCAAGAAGTTAGGAGTCAAGTGGAACTTCCGATGTTTTGCAGGTGTTGCATTTAAGGTTTATTTGTGAGAGGCGGGCAGCAGCACCAATCCGCGGGCCGGTATTGTGCCGGTGGCCCTCGAAAAAAAGCTTGCTTGTTTTGGTTCGGCTCCCCGAGGTGCCAAGAGCAAAGTTGCAAGACGTTGGTTTCAACTAGACGGACGACTGCCATTTGAGGGACCGCCCTGGGGCCCTGCTTTGACATCCCGCGGGAAGCCACGAAAGCCGTTGGCAAGCGGTGCATCGGCCCAGGCCTGTAGCAGTGCCAAGCATGGGGCTCAGGATCTAGTCCCGAAGGTGAGGCGTGGGGCTTCCGAACGAGGCGGCCAAACACGGAACTGGGGTTGTGTGCTGTATTGAGGGCACCTTTGTCAGTTTGGTTAAAAAGGGAACTGAGAGCAAAACATAGCAAAACCACATTTTTTTGGTGCGGGGGTAATCACTCTATTATTGATGCATCCTCACACATGGGTGTTTCTCCAAATCAAGGACCAATTCCTCCAGGTGGTTCCTTGTGGTTTCTTGTATTATGCCATCCAAAAATGAGGCCCCTAGGGCCCCTAGGTGCATGAAGATCTGAGCTTGCTAGGGATGCTGCCGGATGCCCATGACACCTCGGTGTTTCATCTTGCTTTTCGAGAGGATATTGAAGCACGGACGGCCCCTCCCCAAATAAAAGGGAAACAACCAGAGACTGGATCTTTCATGGTCGCTTCATTTGTTCATTGTAGCCAGCGACGTGCTTAATGTTAACGGATTAATAAAACCTTCCCCTTACCCCCAGGCCAAACCTTCAACAGGTTCGGGGGGAGAAGGCGGCCTGAGGAAATGGTAGCTGTAGGTCGCTCTGCGAGATTCATGACGCATGCCGAAATTAGATAACAGATGTAACACTTCAATTGGGCTGGATGAATTAGTTAATTAGTTGTTTTTTTGTGCGGTAAAATGGTTCTGCCGAACGCGCCGCAACTTCAATTCAGGGTGCTGGATGCCCGAGTCAGATTGTTTAGCATTGCATGCCGAAAACGCACCTTAGCAATCGGTGGTACTTTTTAACACAATGTTAGCATTGTATTGTTCACCATCTCTCGATTTGGCAATTTCAATGCAAAGACAAGTCCTCCCAATCACAGATGTGAGGGCTTTGCTGGCACGACCGTTTTGTTTTGCACAGATCAAGCTCCTTGCTGTGGACCCCTCAGTTTGCCCGGGTTGCTGCGTTCAGGTGGTTTGTGCGCCGAGTTGGCAATCACCGTGGCGCATGCAGCTTGAGACTTCCGAGGACCGCAGATCCTGCGACAAGGCAGCCAGCGCCGACCCAAGACCTATGCCTCGGCTCGGAGCGACCAGCGCAGGCCGCAAAAAGCCACCGCCCATTGCGGAACGTGCTCGGTAAACCGTGACATGGGACGCCATGCGCTGCAAGGCCATCGCTGCGACCAAAAAGTGCCAAGGCTCCAGGCCAAACCGTGGTTCGGGGTGGGCCAGTTCAGGCCCTTCCAAGAGTTGCCAGTTTCTGGGCATTGAATTCGTTTCGTTTGGTGAAGGCCTTTCTTGTGGGAGATGAAGAGTTTGGACCTGCTTGGGCCGATGCAATCAGGAAATGAGCAAGGGCAACCTCGGGAAATCAGGCTTTGGCTACCTGTGAAGGAAGACAGGAAGACAACCGTTGCCAAGAGCAGATCTGATCATTTCCTCGCGTAGGGATCATGACAGGTTCAAACATTTGGCGCTATAATTTCTACATGTTTCTTTTGCCTGGCCCCTTTGCTTTTGGAAGGCGGAAGCGCCTCGTGCTTGCGAGAGCCCTCATTAGAGCCTTAAAGGGCACCCCAGTCACGCCGGGCTTTTTGCGCCAAGATGGCAACGTTTTACTGTATGTCTTCGGCTCGCTCCTAATTGTTTGGAGTCTGCAGCCTTTTCATGAGCGGAGAAGGGTGATGAGAGTTGCTTTTGGATTCTGCGGTTTCTGGTGTTTGCGCCGCCCAGAAGCAGGTGCGGCAGCAGCACGATGTCAAGTTCAAGTTGGTGGTCTAAGATCCGCCCTCGATGCGCGGTACCCTTTGGCCTTGCCTGGCACCTGGATGGAGTGACCTTGAGGCCTTGAGGTGGCTTGTGACTTGAGCATTGGGTGACGGCATGTGTGTAATTATTATTATACTATTTTGCGCCTGGTGCTTGGATGCCAACTGTTCGGACAAGCACTGGGTGGAAGGGTTGTTGTTTGAGCAGGTCTTTCAGCGAAGACACGCCTTCCTGCTACTTGGCTCCAGAAATCACCTTCGAATCCTTGCCCCCTCCCTTCTTCCCACGTGCTTGTCTTCCAACTTGCCTGCATGGCTGGTTCTTTGATACGTGTGGTTCGGGCAGCTACTTTTTTGATTTCTCTCCTGTTGGCAAGGCTTCTCAGCATTTCAACAATATCAGGCTCCGTGAGTCCCATGAAAATGACCACTACTTTTGAATGCCTCGTGACCAAAAGGGCAAGGCAGGCCCAGTCGCACAATGCAGAAACGCTCCTCTCTCCTCCCTCCTTTCCTGCTCGGGAACCGCACCCTGCCACCATGGGCGAGCTAATCCTGGAGCTGGCCCTCCTGAGTGGTCGCCATTGCCGAGTATCCGCGCAGCCCAGTTGGACGGTTTGCGAGCTGAGGCGACCCTGTGGCTTCGAGTTTGGGTTTGGGGTGGGGTTTTAAGGGCGAATTGGGATCGGTTTGGTTGTTTGCTTGTGGATGGGCTTCGGCCGGTGGTTTAGCTCCATAGTCTGCCTGAAAGCAAGGCTCAAGCCACCAATGTCAGGTGACCTGACCTCTCATGGATTGGTCCTGCATGGATGGAACGGCCCTTTGTGAATCAGCGTTTTTTTGTGAGCCGAGCACATTGTGTTTTGAAACATTTGGCTCCACGGGTTTGCGTAGGCGTGCTGCTCAACAGCAGCTGGGGCTGTGCATTCGAGCATTCTTCGCGGATGGCCATCAGCTGCAGCTTGGCAAAACGCTGGCGTAGGGTAGGTCAGCGAGTCAGGAGGCCCGATGCCCTGAAAGCACCTAAAACATCTTGGGCCAACGGGCCCCCAAGGGTGGAACTCTGCAAAAGGCCATGCAGGCCCTGAAGGTCTCAGTGTGGCCCCAGCGTGGCAACCATTTGGAGCCTGTTTAGGCATGAGCCCAAGAAATCTTCCAGGTCCTTTGGCATACGAGTTTTAGGGGTATGTGCAGGCGTTCCCTGCAGGGAAGCTGTCTAGGAAGTTCAAGCAGCGAGGTGAAACTGAGGCCTTTGTTTCAGGCAAGGAAACGGGAAACCCCAAAAACGCATGGCGCTTTGATATCCTCTTCAACCCCATCCAGAAGGAGCCCACATCCAGGAGACGTCCAAATCGCAGGACTCAGACAGAACAAGAAGAAGCGTCATTGCCAAGCTATTTACCGGCACGCGCGTGATGAAATATGAAGGTCCTCTTCTCATTGCCAAAGGTTCCCGAATATTGCCAGACTTCTCTGACGCAAAGAAGGCCAATCTAGTTTTGAAGGTAACTTAATTTTGTCCCCCGCCCCCCCATGTGTCGAGCCTATCCAGCAGGAACCTACAATTGCTCACTGGTTTCTAAGGTAGGTGTTGTTCCAACCAAATGCTACCAGGAGCGAAGGGCTACAATATAGAGGTGATAGAAGGGCGATGTGGTTGGCACAACCCGGGCCTCATCCCGGTTTTTGAGGCGGGATGGGCGCACTGTGGCGGAGTTGGGCCTTGTGGATGGCCAGATCCTACAGGCGGCGGTGCGTGCGGAGGTGGTCTCCTTTTGGGCCGACACCTTTATGGAGGACGAACTCGACTGGCCCCAGGCCAGATGGGGTGGGGGGAGGGGGGATGGGGCCGGTTTGGGGTTATTGTAAACGCTTCGCGTTGCCCGCCTCGGCCCAGCCTAGTTTGAGGGAAGGGTCAGGAACACCGAAATCCAGTGTTGGGAAGGTCCGAATACCTGAAGCTGGCTCCAGACAAGTCAGACAAGCCGGCCTCGCCTGGTTGGGCTGGGCCACAGGCTAGTCTCAGACACATCAGATAAGCCTGCGCTGGGCCTGAAGCTAGTCTCGGGCAGCTTGGCTGGACCTTGCTTGCGTGGGTTGTTGGTTGAGCTGAAGCTAGTTTACGGCGGGCTGGGCAGCCGCACTGAGGGGGCTGGGCTATGGCTGGGCTGGGCCTGAGGCCAGTTTCAGACACGTCAGACAGGCCTGGCCAGCAGGCGGACTGGGCTGGGCTAGACGCTAGTTGAGCCCAGGCTGGTGAGGCCCAGTCTCGGCGCTAGATAGGCTGAGGCCTGCGAGTCTCAAACCGGGTGGGCTTGGGTGGGGTTGGCTTAGGCGGGTTGCTGGTTGGGCTGGGCCTGAAGCTAGTCTCAGCCACGAGGCTGCGAAGCCATGGGTGGTGCTGGGCAGCTGGATTATGGTGTTGGTTGCGCCTGGAACTTCGGCTGGCTGGGCTGAGCTGTGCTTGGGCGGGTCGCTGGATGGGCTGAGGCTGGGTAGCGAGTTGCTGGCTAGGCTGGGCCTGAGGCCAGTCGCAGACACGTAAGACACGCCAGCAGGCGGGCTGAGGGGACTGGGCCTGAGGCTAGTCTCAGGCTGGCATACCTTGAGACCAGTCTCAGACTGCGCCGAAGGGGCCTGGTCAGCCTGGGCTGCTGAGTAGCTGGCATAGCTTGAGACCAGTCTCAGACACGTGAGACTGGTCGTTGGCCTGAGGTCAGTCTCAGACACGTTAGACAAACCTGTTGAGCCTGCTGGTGGGCTGGGAGGTGGGGGCCGGTAGTGGCTGGCATGCCCTGAGATGCGCTGGGGCCTGGGCTGGGCAGGCTTTGGGCTGGGCCTGAAGCTAGTCTCAGCCACAAGGCTGCGAAGCCATGGGTGGGTTGCTGGCTGCCGGGCAGCCGGACCAGGCTGCTGGTTGTGCCTGGAACTTGGGCTGGGCGGGCTGGGCTGAGCTGTGCTTGGGCGGGTTGCTGGATGGGCAAGGCCTGTTTCATACACACTTGGGCCTGAGGCTGGGTGGCGAGTTGGCTGGGCTGGGCCTGAGGCCTTAGGCTGGCGTACTTTGAGACGGGGCTGGGCCTGCTGGATGACTTGGGGCCAGACGCGAGCAGGAGGTCAAGGCTTGGCCAGCCTGGGCTGAGTTGCTTGGGCAGCCGGACTGAGGGGCTGGGGCACGTCAGACGGGCTTGGTGGCTGGCACCAGTTTCTTTCAGACACGTGAGACTGGGTCGTTGGCGTTAGACAAACCTGACCTTGGGGCCGGCCTAGGGCCTGGGCTGGGCGCTGGGCTGGGCTTGTTGGATGACTTGGTAGGCCTGTTTCAGACAAGCTTGGGCCTGAGGCTGGGTGGGGCTGACAGGCCTGGCCAGCAGGCGGGTTGCTGGTTGGGCTGGGCCTGAGCCTAGTCTCAGACACGTCAGGCAGGCCTGGCCACCAGGAGGTCATGCTTCTCAGGACAAAAAAGCAATTTTTTAGTGATTTTCGCAATTGTCAGCACATTTTCGACAAAAATGGACCCATGGAGCTGGACGCCGACGAACCCCGAAAATTTCAAGGCCCGCCGGACAGGATTTTGGGCCAGCCGACATGGGTGGGGGGGGGTGGGGGGGGGGGGCGGCCCGGCAAAATTTTGGTTGGGGAGGGGGTTGGGGGAGGGGAAAAGCGAAGATTCTCTTTGGAGAAGAGATCTGAGCGCCCTTGGCCCCTTTGGGGCCGAGGCGAATTGTGTATTCCTTCTTTGTTTCCCTTTGCTTTGGTTGTCATTGGAATGGAAGTATCTCTGCTCAGATGGGTGGTTTTGGTTTGAGTTGTCCTTGTTTTTGTCACTGGTTGGCAGCTGAAATCGGAAGTTGAATGAAAGGGCCCTAGGATGAGCCTGGCATTCGAAGGAGGTTCTTGCGATGTTGGTGTCACCTTGAAGTGCTGCACTCAGCACTGCTCAATTTGTTTGTGGTAAGGTAGAGTGCAACCTGCACATTGGACAGTCGACCTCTACATGTTGGTTCCTGTTCACTCCCCTGCTTTGCCCAAGCGCGTGTAGCAGAACCCCGGTGCTGAAGGTTGGCGTTCTCACTTGGCGTTCGCATCCCTTCCCGTATGACATTTCCAGAAGAAGGAAACCCTTGTTGCATTGTTGACAAATGCTGCCCAAGGAAATCCAACAATTTCTGGAGCTGAGGGAAACACAGGCCCAAAGACAACCTTTCCTCCCATTAAACAAACAATTGTGACATATCCTTAGGGCTGAATGCCTTATTGAATTCTGAATGCCTTCTTTCCATGGATCTAGAGGTTGATTCCGCAAACCCCCTGCCACCTCCCCTCCCGGACCCACCGCCCACCCCCCTCGGGTTCAGGTGGCCGCCTTCGCCGGGCTCCGCAGCAACGGCACCGTGGTCACCTGGGGCTGCCCTTGCGTAGGGGGCGACAGCCAAGAGGTGCAACCCAGCCTCACGGAGGTGCAGGACCCGTGGAGTTGTCCGCTTCCTAGGATTTGATCAACCCAAGGAGCAAGACATTTTAACATTCAGGTTTATATGTACGTCCACATCAGTCTATATATTTCTATATATATATATATATTGAAAGAGAGAGGGAGAGATAGATAGAGAGAGAGATATGGACGGATAGATCGATGGGCAGATATGTTTGCTTACATGTCTCTACGCTCGGTCAGTTCGAGGAGATCCGTTGCTCCATGGGCGCCTTCGCAGCTCTGCGGGCGGATGGGCAAGTGGTAACCTGGGGCGACGTGGAGGCCGGCGGCGCGCTGACCGCGCGAGTCAGCAGCCGCTTGGTGCAGGTCCGCGACGTGTGCGCCTCCGGGGGCGCATTTGCGGCCCTGAAGGCCGGCAGTTTTCAGTTGTTTTTTCTTTTTTTCTCCTTCTGGCGAAGCAACCAGCCTGGAACCCCAAAATGGGTTCAGACATTTGGCCGCCCGTGGAGGCCGACGGCTCCGTGGTGTCCTGGGGCCCGAAGCTCTACGGAGGCGACAGCCAGGCGGTCCAAGGTGAGCTGCGCCAGGTGCGGACGATCCGGGCCTCCGGGGCGGCCTTTGCGGCTCTGCGGGCGGACGCTGGGCAAAGGAAAGCTAAGACTTAGCCAAGACTTCCAAAGGTCGGGTTGGTTTTGTCCGAGTCAGGTCCAGTATGTCCAGTTTCATTTTTGGCTTGTTTTGCCACACTCAGAAAAGCCGACATTTGGATCCTGAGTTGGTCCTCATCCAGTGAAAGGTTCCAGGTCCGCAGTTGAGCAAAGGGTTCAAGGCTTTTTGACGACCCAATCGGCTCAAACCCCTGGTTGCGTTGGGGGTAAGGTTCAACTGCATGTTGGTTTACGCCAAGGAAACATGGAGGGTGATTTGCCAGAGTTGATGTCTTCTAGACCACCTATTTGCCAGCCTGCCAAGGGTTCTACACAGTGGGAAACACATGCCTGGCACCTGCACAATGTTTCTGAAGTTCCCCATGAAGCGAATCACGCTTGTCAGTTCGGAAACGATCTATGAAACACGCCCCCCCCCTTTTTGTGAGTTGTTTTTCAACTAGAGAGGCAACCCAACAAAAATCTTAGACCAGTAGCCAGAATGGAAGTTAGACGACCGAGCACTTGCATCCAACAAAAGCAGTAGACGAAAAGGAAAGGGCAGCCCTCCTTGGCTTTGGTCATTGGGCAGCTCAGGACGGGTCTGTGGTGACTTGGGGCCTTCCAGGTGATGGAGGTGACAGCCAGGTTGTCCAACATCGGCTCACGGAGGTTGCGGAGATCTATTCCAACGAGCGCGCCTTTGCTGCGTTGAGAACGGACGGCTCCGTGGTGACCTGGGGCTGCGCGGAAGATGGGGGCAACAGCACGGCCGTTCAAGAGCAGCTGAAGGACGTGCGCCACGTCGCGGCATCGGCGGCGGCCTTTGCAGCGCTTCGTGGGGATGGTGTCGTCGTCACCTGGGGGAAGGCACACTATGGCGGCGACAGCAGCGCGGTCCGGAATCAACTGCGCCCCTGAAGCAAAATGTCATGTCAGTCATTGCCCGACTGGGAGCTTCAGGGCGCCACGGCCAACGTGCTGTAATGAACTGGACAGATGAATCGCAGGTTGCGTGACAAATTCCTCCCAGCAATATATAGATGCCCCGCATGGCCCTTGGTTGGGATGGAAATGCAGGGATCCGCCTGTATGAGCCATAGAATCCCTCTTGACTGGGTTCCGTAAATCTCACCTTGAGATCTTGCAATACCAAAGTGAAATTCATCAGCAGTGGCCCGAAACAGGATGTTCAATCCTTAATTAAAATGGGACGCGGAAGGATCCTTGCAATCCTATGGAACTGATTATGTTTCCAAGAGCACGCTCCTGCAACATCGCCAGGAAAGCCACCCAGAAACCGGGGATGTGGTTACTTTCTTGGATTATAATTATCCTGATTGTTTCGCTTTCGCTGAACTTCCCTCGCTGCGCGTCACTTCGGCTGAGACGCCAAAGTGAGGCGCAAAGTCCGGTTGGTGCACGCGACGCTACGCTCCTTCGCGGCGGTGCGGGAGGACTTGTCGGCGGTGAGCTGGGGGGATTTCGGGGCCCCGCACCGCGTGGAGCAGGTAGCGGGGTGGCGGGCAATGGTTGCGATGCCTCATGTCAGTCATGTTTCTGGATGGAAGGGTTTCCCTCTTACGTGGGGGCACCCCCCCAGAAAATTTAGTCTACCAAGGGTTCAGAAATTCCCGCGCTGTCTGTAGATGGCTGCTGGTGGTGGTGTTCAATTTGTTGCATGGAGAAATCCCAATGTCAGGCCCCTACCCTATCTTCAAACCAAGCCAAACCATATCACAAAGGTTTCCAGACTGCAGTGCCGAAGGCTCAATTAGCAAATCTGCTCAGGTGACATCCCCAACAGCATGTGGAACTCTTTTTAGTGCTCGCACCACCCCGCAGCCCACGCAGAACCTCGCAGAACCCTCGTGGAACCCTGGTGGAACCCTGGTGGAACCCTCGTGGAACCTTGCCTCAGAGCCGCCCCGGACCACCCCAGAGCCTATCTGGGCTGAGACCCCACAAGCTTTCAGCTGTTGGGGAAGAAGTAGGAGGAGCGACTCGGGATGTGGTTGTTTTGTTGTTGCGGCTTACCAGCTCTCTTGGGGTTCTTGCCTTCGCCCTGCTCCCCGATAGTTTGTTTCCCCAGCTAGCTCATTCGTAGAAAGGAGGGTGCGCACACAGAAAGGATCTTGTTCGAAAATATCTTGATCGGTGGCCCAGACGCAGACCCCTTAAGTTGAGAGCGATGGAGATGGGCCATGCATTGGCAATGTCAGCGCTCTTTGCGGAGCTGAATCTCAAGCAGCTGTTGTACTGGTCCCCTTGTTTGATCATGACCAGTGGAAAAAACTTTATTCATGCAAAGGGGCTTAGCAACCGGGAACTCATGAAGCTCCTCTTTCTGGGGGATGGCCCTCCGCATTTCTTGGGAAGTACTTCGGCGCGACTTTCCTGCGGCAGGTGCGGCACATCTGCGCCTCCGCGGGGGCGTTCTGTGCGCAGCTGGCGGGGGGCGGCCTGGCGGCTTGGGGCCGCGCCAAGTTTGGGGGCGACGCTGCGCCGGTGCTGCGGCGCCTCACCTCCGGCAGCGCGGTGAGGGAGGCAGGGGTGCGGAAAATCTGGCAAGTCCGGCTCCCTCCCAGTTTAATGTATCATCACACATTACCGCCAGGAAGGAACGAGACATAAGACTTTGGAAGTAAACATGCAGTCAGGCCCTGGCCCCTGTTTTGCAAGAAAAGTGGTTGCAACAAAAAGCGGTTGGAGAAATCTTTCGCTTTGGAAAATCACACACTTGCCCCCTGGCCCAAAGTACCTGAGGTGCGGAGCCATGCCCGGGGCTTCGCGGCGCTGTTGGAGGATGGGGAGGTAGCGCCTTGGCAGGATTTCACCTGGAGGATGGAAGGGGAGGGCATTTGCCGAGCGCCCTTTTCAGGTGCATAATGTGGTTTTGGCTCTTTGGATGTTTGGGTGGGGTAGGGGTGGGGCTGGCGTGGCGTGGGGGTGGGGGGGGGTGCGGGTGGGGTGGGTGGGTGGTTCGGTGTGTTTGGGTTGTTTGCTTAGTAGGTCGTGTTTGTGTTGCATTTTGATAGAATCACACATTGCATATTGGCCCATTGGTGGGGGAAGGCGCGCTTGGAGGCGATGGAGGCATTTAGGGTGGGAGACGGCGGAAGGACAGATGGCGCCAAGGTTAGATTCTGGTGAGATCCCGCTGGGCCGGAGCAGACTGGTGTTGTGGCAGTACTTACGAAAGTCCAGAATTTTGGGTATCCCTGGCAAAAGCTTGCGTGGTGCTTCTTTAGTCATGGCTTCAACCATGGGCAAACGATGGGTGAAGTTTCTGAAAGGCTTTGCCAAAGATTGCCTGGGCTCCTTGCGCCAGGTGGCGTGGGGCGATGCTGTCGGGGCCTATGGCAAGAAGGATTTGGACGGCAGCGCCGAGGCCCTGAGGGCCTCGGTCTTCGGTGATTTCGGCGAATAGTGCCGGTGCAGCCTGAAAGACTTGTGATCTATTGTGATCCTTTACCCTCCGCAAATTGGAGAGTGCGCAATATCAAACGCCCCATTGGGGAGTCACTAAGTGTAAGGGGGAGGGACATGGCCCGACAGGAGTGTCACTCCCTTGATGCAGAGCGTGCCATTCGGAGCCGGCATCGACTCCGAACCGGCCGAGTCGAAAGACCCACTGCGCCTGCCTCCTCAGGGTGAAAAGCCGGATGTGTGTTATATCCGACATGTTCAGGACGGAACAAGTAAGGATCGTGGGGAGCAGAATCCTGAAAGGTGAATACTTTGAAAGCGGACTGTGGCCAAACAGTGGCCCAAATGGGCCGCAGCTGCAAAAAACATGGCAGACGCTATCATGGCGATGGGGCGTCCAATGGGCATTTTGTCTAAGGGCGGGCATTCTGGCGGTGCGTTTGCACTGCAGAGTAGGCACAGAGAGCAGCGCACCGTTATGGTCAGGGGATTCTTCGCCCCGTCCCAGGTTGGTGAATGACATTGTAGAGGAGGTCTTGATGCAACCTCCAGAGGCTCTTTCAGCGCCTGAGTTCAGGCTCGTTTGGGCATGAGTCACGTTGGTTGTGACAACTCCCGGATGCTCGCGACTCTCCATGTCCTGGTAATTTCTCAGCAGACAGTGGGACATGTGCTAGAGTCAGGGAGGTTTCCATGCACCGACGCCTTGACTGACTTGATTGCCTGGTTGCTTCATACTGTTGTTTGCATTAACTGGGGAATGCTCAAAGCAACGAGTTTGGCGGCGATGGTCTACCGAGAGTCTACCGAGCCGGCCCTTGATTCGCGCAGTATGCTAATTTGACGGCATTTTGCAGCAGGCCAGGGCGAAGGCAGCGCAAGCAGAAATTGTGCCTGCACCCCTTGCCAGCGCCAGGAAAGACATCAAAGCACGATTGCGGGCCCTGATCCTGGAGGCGCTGCAACACGAAGGCAGGGCGCTGCGGTTCCTTGCCAGAGGCATTGGGATCTGACCGTTTTGTTCTATGCATTTTGGCCAAAAACACGAGGCGACAGAATTGTGCGCGTTCAGTGTTGCATTTCATCCGGGCAGCGGTTTCGGCTGCGAATTCAGGTGCCAACTTGCCGAGCAGGCGCGGGGCAATCGGCCTAGGATGAAGTGACAAATCGCGGCTTTCCACTTCTACGTTCGGCCATTTCCCACACAGCCCCATTTTCAGCAGCTGGCCTGTGGCACAGGCAGCAAGGCACTGCAGGGAGACCAAGAGTGAGCTGCCTTGGCCTTGCAAGTGGCATGTGTTGGCCTTCTGCCTCGTGGGCATGAATGTTGGCATGATTGTGAAAGGCACGACTTCACCCCACCGCTTCAGATTCAACCATGAGATGGCAGATCTGGAGGAAGATCATTTTTGCATGAGCCAGCGGCAAGGGCTGAGATTGAACCCATCACGACCAGAGATTTCAACTCATTGCATTTCTCCCAACAGCGCAGGCTTTTTACCCTGGCCTGGCATGTTGCAAGAATAGAAATATCGTGCCTCCATTGCAGGAACTAATTTGGCTTGAGGCTTGACTTTTCTTCGGTCCCCATGGAGGCGGCACCTGTTCCTTCAAAGCTGGTTCCCTTGTCGGCTTCGGGCCTCTCAGGACCGCACCCTCCTGGGGATCGCCTTTCACAACGCCAAGGCTTGGACCCGGGCCTGGGGAGAATCCGCGCGTAGCTGACACGTTTGCCGCGTGTGAGAAACTCCGAACCTCACATCCAGGCCGCGTAGTCCTTGTTCCGTGTTCGGTGACTTGCTTCCGCCTTCGCTTGCCTTCAGCGCACTGCCAGGCCTGGTCTCACTTTGGACAAGCTGTGAGGCACGCAGCTTGAGTGCGTTTGCACATCTCCCTTCCAGGAAGGCAGCTTCCCCTATTGAAACGTTGACTTCTTTTGCAGCATGTATGACTCTATGACGGTACCGCGTTGGCAGAACGTTCCCATGCGGTGCCGCCAGGCGACAGTGCGCGCAGGGTGGCGTGAGCCGAGAGCTCACCGCCGGGGAGCCAAAGCTATGAGTCTGGCATCAGGGAGCAGATGTTTCAATCAATTGGCAGTGGTTGGTATTTCCCTGCAATCTTGTACCAAGTTTTGCGGCTGATTGGCTGATCCGAATCAGACAATTTGGCTGCGCCAGAGGGGCCAACAACGGCTTGAAAGGCTACGTATGGCTACGTGCCACAAATACTGCTGGTGCGGAAAGTTTTTGAACTGAACCCCTTTCAAATGGCATTCTCCTTTCCAGAGGTGCTGCAGGCGGCAGTCGCCGCATTGCTCTTGCGACTCTTTTGTTGTTATTGTTTAGCATCACCATGGCCAACCTTGTGTATGTGTGTTTACTGTTTACATTTGCTGCTTTGGATAAGTTTGGAGGTCCTTTCAGCTGATTCTCCGACGTGTGTCCCGGCAGCCCTTCGAGTGACGCTGGACCACTGAGATGCGATTTCTGGACGCCTTGCGGGCCTTCTTGGGCTTGAACAGGCTGCCGGAGGAGAAGCAGTCTGCTTCAGGTTTAGATGCATAAAGCCAACGGCGCACGTCCTATTTGCAACCCAGTAATCGTTGGGTGGTTTGCGGCCAGATTTGCTTGTGTCAGGCCCGGGTTGAACGCTTGGTGGCTCTATTGGGAGTGAACTTGAGCACTGAATCTCCAGTGCCCACCTCTTGTCATGGCAAGGATTGGCATGTCGTTCCTGGGTTTTCTGGACACAGTGCTTGGTGGTTCTAGGTTTTTCGATTTGGGAGCTTGAACTTGAAGCGCCAGTTTGTTTGCAAACTCAATTGCAGGATCATCGAACCTCCAAGCCATCCACAGACACAAATGGGTAAGCTGAGCCCATGGGCTCATAGATCTTAGGGAATGCACACGTGGGTTGAATGCACGTTCGTGGGCAGTCTTGTGCAGCCAGGGTCAAGGTGAGTAACAGCGACAGAGAAGCGCTGGCCATCATCAGATATTGGGGTGGGCGCAAGATGATCCATAGTTGTTGAGCCATCGACTTGCACCGGAGGATTCAAACGTCGTTTGGGATAACTTGCTTCAGAGCTCTGTCGGATTTCGGAGGGCCACCTTGAGCGGCGTGGGCCAGGAGAACCCTGAGGATTACTGGGCAATGCCGCAGCATGCTCAGGGTCTTCGGCCAGTGGTCTAGGTTGAGCTCATAGGACCCAAAGCCACGTCATCTGCCGGCATTTGGGGAGGTTCTGACGCTTAACCCAAAGGTTTGGAAGAGCAGGATGCTACAAGAACAACCAATCATTGCGTCATTTTTAGTCGGCCATCTCAGCAGAGCAAGACCAAAGAGATGGGAAACCCACGGGCGCCGTTCAGCGGAAAGCATTCGACGTTCCGGCCTGGGGGGGCACGTGTCAGATCTTGAGCACCCTTGCGCAATGGTATGCAAGTCCGTGTTCAACTAGCCCAAAGGAGCTGGCGCCGTTTAGCGGGGAATTTGTTCCTGGCACATTCAGCAGCCAGGCCGGATCAGCCGCTGCACATCGACGATGTTCCGCCGCTGCTGTCCACAAGGGGCACTTGGCAGCAGGAGACGGAGCAGTGACGGAGCCATTTTAGTCCCGGCTGATGCGCCCCTTCCGCGCTTCCCCCCGGCCCCAGTCTTGGGAGCCAGCTGGCTCACGGAAAATACAAAAGGGACACTCAACCAAAGGATTACATTTTCCCTCATGGCCACTGCACCTTGTTTGCCAAAGGCTTTTGGCAAGGTGGTTGTAGTCGTCAGACAGGTACGGCAGCTGAACATGAGCAGAAGCAGCACACCAGCAACAAAACAAAGAAACTAGCCATGGTTATAAGCAAACAGAAGCGAACAAGCAACGAGCAAGCAAGCAAGGCGGTTCGGTTCCTTGCCGGGGTTCGGTTCGGAAACAGGTCGGTTCCACAGTTCAGGTTCCGCGATTCTCGGCTCGATTCGACAGCCATCCTGTTTTAGCGAAATGCCTTTGATACCTTGAGACAGCGCGGTACATGAGCCATTTGCTCATCACTGCAGAGAAGCCACAAGGGCAATCATTGTTTCCTTCTCCACCCGCCTATTTGTCCTCAAGACAGCCTCCATGTCGACCCTGGATCAATTAGGCAACCTTGCGGACGAATCCCCGCAAAGATTGAGCATCCCCCTTTAAAATAGGGCGCGCCTTATCAGTCAACAGTACCGACAGTACCCCCTTGCAAACTAGCATGAGGCCCCAAACGACCCCCCCCCAAAAGGAGATTTTCTCTATGATGGTTGGGTTCCATGTTGATCAGCGCGGCATAGTTCCTGCCCAAAGGGCCTTGCACCTCACTCTCCTGGCGAGGAGCAGTTGCCGAGCTCCTCCTGGCGACAGCAGCTGCAGGCCAAATGCCACGCATTCTCCCCTGCGATCAAAGCTGTGGGGGTTGCAAAGCTTTCGCAGCCTGGGCCAGCTGCATTGGTGGCCACACAGGGTCTGTCCCTATAAATTTGCTTTCATGGGCTTTGCCGAATGTAGGAGGCTGTTGAAATGGCTGGCTTGTGCTAGGGCGACACCCAATTTTAACCACATCCCGTCCTTGCCAGGAGCCAGTTGCCTTGAGCGGCCGTGAGGCGTCTGGAAAGCGACAAAAACACTGGGTTCAATGGGTGTGGTGATGGTGCGGTCCGTTTACGAAGGATCCTTGCTCAGTGCCACGGTTTCCTGACTTGACTTCGTGGGAACGCTCACTGGGGCAATCAGTGGCGGAATGTGAGGGTTCCTCGACGACCTCCCAAGCAGGTTTTGGCCACATTTGCCATCCATTTAAGCCTGATGTCAGTAGGGAGTTAAAGGTGTTGGAGCGCTTTTGGCATGTTTGCATTCTTGCTGAACCAGACGAGCCTGCAGCACTGCGTTGAGAATTCATGTCTGACAAGGCGGCAAATGGCCAGCTCTCCTCTCCTGGAGGCAAGGACTTGACTTGCTGGATGGGTGACTGGTAACGTGGTAAAGCTAAGGGATTTGTCCCTTGGCAACTTGCAGTTCAACTGTTTGGCAAATGGACGGCGGCAACGCGGCTGGGTCCAGAAGCAGCATGGATAGCCGGATGAACTGCACGCTGACCGAGCTTTGTTGGACTTGTGAGCCATCAAGCTTGAGCACATCACCCTGAGAGCCACGGAATGGCGAAATTACAAGGCTAGCCGAACATGTCGCACTTGGTTCTCCAACCAAGCATAGCGAGT